CAGGCTGTTTGCACTACTTTCAATGTCTCTGGGCAGCAATCTCCACCTTAGGATTCTTGTGAAGTCTCCATTTCCCTCCCTCAGGCCCTCCTTTACTGTCTATCACTTTCTGAGGATACCTTGGCCAGCACATCCAGTCTTTTCTTGTTCTTTACAAAAAAGGATCAGCTGTAGGGTTCCAGACATAAAAGGCCTCAACCAAACACAAAACACAGGCATTGATGGAGAAATAAAAGATCCAGGAAATAAACTCTGGACGAGGAAAGAGCACAAAGTGTCTTTTATAATAAAACAGTACATGAAGAAAGAGGAGGGGCCTGGCAGACGAGAGAGCTCCATCCTGAACATTTACATAAAGCACTTGCATAACAAGCATAAACATTCACTCCACATAGAAACAAGGCAAATCCAATAAATGATACGACAAGATTTGTTTTTTAACTAGCAGCAAAGAGTAACAGAAGTCTTGAATGGGCCATGGCCAGAGAGGCATGTCATGCCCTCTGTATATGGCAGCAGCCAGTAACACCCTGTGCTGCTTCAGTGGGTCACTGACAAAGCATCCTGAAGTAGACCTGGAATGGGTCTGTAAGACACAAGACAAGCCAGGGTCTGTAAATGTGTGCCCATGGATGCTTTCTAACCTGGATTATTGGGGAAATTCTTCAGCACTGTCTCAGGGTTATGTATAGTAGTATGAACATAATAATCATTACTATTGATAACTGATACTAATACTATAAGGGGTCTCTAAACTCCTTACAATCCTGTTTTGGAAGTAGGAACTGATCATGAAACAGTGCCTAGAACCCCCTTGGACTTTGTCACATTCTCTCACAACACCCTGTGCCACAAAGATTACTCTTCACTCTTTTTTTTTAAAATTTATTTATTTTATTTATGAGTACACTGTAGCTGTCTGTCTTCAGATACACCAGAAGAGGGCATCAGATCCCATTACAGATGGTTGTGAGCTACCATGTGGGTGCTGGGAGTTGAACTCAGGACCTTTGGAAGAGCAGTTAGAGCTCTTAACCACTGAGCCATCTCTCCAGCTTACTCTTCACTCTTGAATCAGTCACATTTATGCTAAATTAATAAACATATATTTGAGGAAAACCCAGGATTTCTAAAATCCTGTTTTGTCAGAAATACAATACCCCTTTCATTTTAACATCCATGAAGATAACAGACTAATTTTTGAAGTACTTGACAATAGAAATGAAAATCAATATGAAATACAGTGTGACTAGAAAGCAGAGGTAGAGGAGAAACCTGTAGCTAGGAGCTGACTCCTTCTGGAAGCTACAAATTCACAGAAAAAAAAAATTGTGGCCAATTAAATGATTTGTTCACTGAATAAAAATTATACATTCTCCAGTGCATACTGTACACATCAATGCCACGATACAGCACAGACACTATTTTAAGCTCAGGAAACATCTCTAGTTCCACATGTCTTCCAATCAGCGTGTGACTAAATTCTTTGGCCACTTTCTTGGCAATATTCTTTACAGATTATTTTGTCACCACTGATGAGGACAAGGCCAGAAATGTACTTGGAGCATACATTTTTAATCTCTGTACATAGCTTTTTGAGATCCATATACAGTCAGTAGCTACCTACCTAGTCCTGTGTACCACTCTACCATGTCACAGATGATAATTCTCAAAACAAGCAGCTTAGAAGGGACACTGGGAAGAAGGGCAGTCACCCAGCCAGTGCTCAGCAATGTTCAGCTTTTATCTACAATGTTCACATGCAGCCTTAAAAGTGTCTGAGTAGATGATAATAAATGCCCTACAGCTGGTTTGTTCATCTGTATGAACTTCCTATCTGTAGAAGACAAATGCTATTCCCCGTCTGACTGACAGATGTCCCAGTGGTTGAAATTACTGTCTGTGGATAAAGTTCAGAATAAAGTGGTAAATTAACAACTTTCCTTTACATTGGACAGAGCTAGCTCATTCTCCGTAATGCCAAGAAGCAGTGGGTTAAATCAGGCCACAAAACCTAAATGGCCAACAGACAGACATCTAGTAGTGTACTAAGGAGTTCCTTATTGATTTTTTTCTTTTTCTTTAAAAAAAAAAAAATCAATAAGGAACTCCTTAGATCTCATCCTGGAATATTCCCAGGATGAGACCACCATACTGGGAATATTCTTCCCTTTAAAAGGTGTGAAAATGTATAAAATACACAGAAACCAATTCAAGTAAAATTACACAGGACATGGAAACTTAATAGGAACCCTGAAAAACTGCTATTGTATTTGCACACTAGATCATTGGCTCTTTACCTGTGGGTCGTGACCCCTTTGGGGAATCAAAGAACCCTTTCACAGGGGTCGCCTAAGACTATCAAAAATGTCAGCTATTATTTACATTATGATTCATAACAGTAGCAAAATTACAGTTTTGAGGTAGCAATGACAATGATTTTGTGACTGTGGGTCACCACAACATGAAGAACTCTATTAAAGGGGTAGCATTAGGACAGTTGAGAACCACTAGATTATAAGGAGTCCTTGAACACCCACAGGCTTGTATATTGTGAAGAGCTGGTCAGAAAATATTAAAATGAAAACAAAATCCCTGTTATGTGTGAATTAACAAGTAATGCATAAGCTATGACTGGCCTCATAACAACTGCTTTTGGGAAGAACACTGGTGAGGCCTAGGTCCACACGACCGTCAGGTCTATTTTGTCACCATCACTGACTTGTAACATATGATGTTCTGTTTTCTCTTCGCCAGCCCAACAGTGCTCAGGCACCAATCACACCTAATACAGAATCTTTGGCTGGCTGCGACTCAAAGGATAAAGTCCAAACTCAGCACTGCACACCCACCCTGTGCAGTGTTCCCGACAGGGGGCCACTCACCAACCCTCACACACCCATACTGCTGGGCTGGGCAGATCCAAACCCACACTGGATGCCTGAGTCCCAGAGGTGCAGCCTTCATTCCTTCAACTGCTCTGCAGTTTTATGCCTCTGTGTCCTTGGATATGCTGGCCCCAACTGAGAGGAACCCTTTTCTCTAACCCCCTTGCTTCTTCTGACTCCTCCAGACTCAGTCTTACATCCTTGGTAGCCTATACCTCCCTTTGGATGAGTGAAAATATGGCACTGTGTTCCCTCACTCAACTGCTGCTTACTGCATCACTTTCTAGCTGATTGACCTTGGTCAAGTTCATTAATAACACTGAGGCTACTTCCTCCTACGCTGAGAGTCAATATCAATTTGCTGCCTCAGTGAAAATTACTTTGTGAACAGTAAGGTGTTAAAGTTGTAAGTATAGTCCAAGCACTCAAGTCTAAGCTAAGGGAGAGACTGAACTTTAGTCTCTAGTTCCCCTTTCCAGGATGCTCTGTGTTCCCACCCCCACCCCCGTTATATTTATTGCTTATTATTGCTTTTACTTTACGTGCACTGGTGTTTTGCCTGCATGTATGTCTGTGTGAAGGAGTCAGATCATGGTGTTACAGACAGATGTGAGCTGCCATGTGGGGTGTGGGGGCTGGGATTTGAACCTGGGTCCTCTGGAAAAGCCCTCAGTGCTCTTACCTGCTGAGCTATCTCTCCAGCCCCTCTCACCCTTCTTCCTGGGTCCACTAAGTTCTGTGTTTCTATCTGCAGGAAAGACCCTTGGTGATATATGGACCATTTCAAAAGAAATGAGATGGGAAGCCTCTGGAAGACACGGGTTTCTTAACAATGTGCACAGAAGTACTGTGCTAGCACATACAACTACTAAGTAAACTATCCTTGTCCTCAGTGAGCTATAATCAAGAGGTGACCTAACAACGTCCACACAAGTCTCATCTTTAAAAAAGTAACAAATGCCTTTATCATTAAGAGTAACAAGAAATTTCCTGCTATGCTACCTATACCTGATTTGGCACGTACTGAATTTGCCATCTTGGTTACTTGCACTTAATGTATGCATGCTCTGGCATTATCAGAATCACTGATGCAATTGATCACCAAGTCACTGAATTACAACTGCACTAGGTTTTATGAGTACAAAGATAAAGCTGGTAGACTCTGCCCAGAAGCCACTAAATAAACTGAAAGGAAGCTAAGCCATCAATACACATAATTAATATAGATCAGAATAATATAAGATGTATAGAGGGCCTAAAGATCATCTAAGACATTTGCATTAGGGCACTGAAACCCATAAAGTTAATACTGTATGGTACAAATTATTGATGGCCAGTAGCTTCTGTTACTACTATATATCACATATATTAATATATGCTGCATGCCACACCAGATTATGTATTACCTTTCTTATTCTGATTTTAAACCTACCCGTGTTTCCTAAAGTATCATCGTTCAGACCTTTACGATAGTCCCATTTAACAGATGAGAAAACCGAGGTCATGCAATTTTTCTAGGTTAAGAAGCAAAAGTAAAAATATGTAAACAGAACCGAGGAGATACACGAGCATTCTACACAGAGGGCATGGACCCATTTCCCAGAGCCATTTCCTGCAGTTCTTTTCCTCTTCTGACCAACACATCCAGTGGGAATAACACACTGTAGCTCTCTTTTCCCGCCAGGGCTTTTCTCTTCCCAGGTCTCTAACTGAACTGTTGATTCTCACGAAGACACTCTCAAGCATTCCCACTCACTCTAGGACATGTAATTTAAACCACGGGAGCTTCAGGAGACATGAGACCGAAGCAGATATCCAGGTGGACAAAACCCCTGGTAGGTTTTGTCCTAAGAAACTAAAGCTACCGGATTGGGGATCTGCTCCAGGGGATGGCAGCAGCACTCTACTCACCCAGGAGGCGCAATCCCCGGCGGAATCCTCCCCTCATGATCCCGCTAGCAGCTTGGGCGCTGCCATCTGCTCTTTTACCTTTCACCTGCCGAGGCACCCCGCACAACCCGCATCCTAACCCAAGGCAGGCATCGCGGGGCAACCGAGTCCCAAACCTGGTCAAGCGCGCCGAGCCCGGTCCACCCCTGGCCAGTCACTTACGGTTCCAGTACACCGGGTAGCATTCTCCTTGAGTGACATCCACCTCGTAGAGGCCGCCGCGCACGCACACCGGCTCGATGGTCACCAGCTCCTCCATCTCCGGCTCAGGCCCAGCCGCGCGCGGGCAGAAGCCGCAGGCGCGGTCCTCGTCGTCTTCCTCCCCGAAGCTGGAGGTTGGGCCGCACACCCGGTCTCCATCGCGGCTCGCCGCCCGGGCCTGAGCGCCCGTAGTCTGCAGCAGGGTCCGGAAGGCGAGCTCGATGCGCAGAGAGTCGTAGCCGATGAACGGCTTCCAGGTCTTCTTGTCTTCCTTGTAGAACCAGCGCACCTCCTCCGGGCCCAGCTCCGTCACCACCTCGTAGCGGTGCCGAGCGGCTGTGCCGCCCGGCCGAGCGCGCTTCCTGTCCCCGGGGCCCCCTCCCGCTGCCCCGCCGCCCCCCGAGTTCGGGGCGACCAGCGGCGGCGGAGGCGAAGAAGAGCTGCCGCCGCCCGCGCTCTCGCCCTCGCTGTAGTAGCGCAGCGACGAACCCGACTCGGCCGAGCTGAAGTCGTAGGTCTCGTCGCTGAGGCACGGGTCCAGAGCCAGGTGGCTCAGGTCGTCGCTGCCCGGTGCCAGGTGCAGCGACTCCGCGCGCAGCAGCGACAGCGGCACGCCGTCGCCCGGCTGGTGCTCGAAGCAGCAGCCGCCGCCGCCGAACACGCCCGCCGCGTCCGAGCCCAGCTCCCAGGCACCGCCGCCGCGTCCGTTACGCTCGGGGCTCCGTGGGGCGCCGCGGCCCGGGTAGTTCATGCCGCCGGCGCTTCCGCCACACGCGCATCCGACGCCGCCGCCCTCTCGGCCCGGACTTTATAATCTTTCAAATCCCGAGCAGGGCAGCAGCTGCGGCCGAGGCGACTCCGCCTCCCCGCCGGCCCCCGGCCGCCGCAGCGCCGTTCCGGGGCCCGCCCCATTGTTACGCACCCCTGCGTGGGCGGGGCCCGAGCGAGGCCCCGCCCCCAGGCCGCGCGCGCCTCCCCGGAAGGCCCGAAGCCGCTGGTGTTGCTCTGGTTTGGCTCTTGGCGGTGCGTAGTCGTCAGCCCCTGGAAGCGTGGGGGTCACACCGGGTCGCGGCGGTCTGGGCATCAGTGGAGCCTTTGCCTCACGACTCTCGATGCAGTGGCTCCGCCCCCTCGCTTCCACGCCCCTGGATGCCGGCTGGAATGAGGCTTTCGCCCACTCATCTTTACACAGTTCATGAGCCCCGTGGCTGATTCAGCTGTATGCCCAGAGGGACCCTGGAAGTTGCTAGCTCACGTTCCTGGCTTTAGGCCTGCTTGCAGCATTCGAAAGACCTGCTCGGTCACCTGGTCTGGCCCTTTCCCAACCTTCAGCCCATTCATAAAGAAGGCACTCCACCTCTCTGCCTGATGCTCACCTAGGCAATACTACTCCCACTTAGAAAACAGGAGTCCTAGCGTCGCTGTGCCAGCTTTTAGGATTGCACTTGAACTTATGCTTCCGGTTCTTTCCGTATTGCAGTAAGGCCTTGGATGGAAACCAATTTCCTATGTCTTTTTTTTCCTACAGTCTGGGCACATTCAATGTTCCTTGGTTATAACTAACTGGCCTCGCCAGCCTGGTGTAATAGATAATTAGACTAAAAAACAAAAACAAAAAACAAACCTAGGTTCTAGACTCAGCTTTGCCACCCCCAGGCAAGTCACTTAATCTCCTTGGTCTATTTGTCTTATTCCTTGGTATAATTAGGAAATCATTGTATCGGATGGTCTCTAGTAATGCCCAGCAGTGATTCTATTGCCTTTAAGTCTTCCCAAGTTTGGTTTGGTTTTTGTTTTTAGTATACCGATGATTCTGTACTCGCTTCCTGGTTTCAGGGAAACACTGAGGCTCCCTTATGTTAGACTTCCAAGACAGCATAAAGAGACAGAAGACATAGACCAGAGTCTGACATCAACAGACAGAACAGTTTATTTCAAACAGAGGACAGGCACTCTCCTGAGTGAAACTGGTGTCTTGGAAGGGAGGAAGCTAGCTGGGGCCCCTTATAGAGGAAAGTTGGAGGCTTGGAAATGAAATTCTTGCAGCCATAGGGCTATGTGTCGGTCTATGATGTATCTTTCCTGCAATTATCTGTTTTACAAAAGACAGTTCATCTTGGGGGATAGGCTGCCCCAGCAGAGATTATTTGGATTGTGGATGACTGATGAGTTTGGTCAAGGTCAGCTATAACGTCATAGAAATCCTGTTTTATAGCCGAGGCACTCTGTCACCCCAGACAATTCTTTTAATTGAAAAGTTTTTATTTTATAAGCCCATCCTATCTTGAGAATCGCTGGAAAACTCCAACCTTTCTCTTAGTTCAAGAATAGACAGTCTTCACTGTTAATGTTTACTCTGTGGAATCAGGTCAGTAGGGCAAATTGTTTTACTCTTAGGATGCAACCTGTCAGAGATCCTTCAAAGTCATTACTTAAATCAGGATCATCTGTAGTTTTGTAGGGATCTGTTAAAATGCCCTGCTTTCTATGGGCAGATGCAAAGTGAGACTGTTGCAATTCATGGTAAGTAGAGGAATATAGGCTATATTTTCTACCATAATGACTAGATTGGCTGGGTAATCTTGTCCAGTGAGCAGTCCGTCCATTTGTACATTACAGTCCCAATAACAAAGCATCATATTACCATCTGAGTTTCTGAATCCCAAATTCTTTCCAAATGTTTCTATTAATGGTAGGCAGAGTAAGAAATTGGCTGTTCCTGAAGGCATTGATCCACACTGTTCTGATAGTTATCCATGTACAGACACTTCTGTATAGCTTCTGATGACAAAGAGAACCAGGAACCTATAGCTTAGGAGGGGATCTTGATAAGTAAACACAGATGCTGTATTAAAGTGTAATTAAAAGTAGTAGATATCAGTGTTGAGTCTCAAACCCTGGGACAAATGGCTGAGGTGCCTGTTTAATATCAAAGCTGACCTGACCTCCAGGTTCTCCCAGCATCCCTCAGTCCCTCCCTACCTGTTACAGAATATGTCTGGAATAGCCTACCTTCTACCCCAGAACTCTCCAGCTCAGGGCCAGGCTGCCCTTACCCAGGTGCCTCTTCCCTATATAATCCAGCCATTTTGGTTACCTGTCTCTTTTGTACCTTTGACCTCATGGCTATAGCACCTGGTTCTTCTCCCTTCTCTCTTTTCCTTTCCCTCTCCCCACATAGCCCAACTCAGTCTGGTCATGTGTACTCTGGACTCTCCCAGATGTTTCTGTCTTATAGCTATGTGGGAGAGCATAGCCATAGAAATGCTCTCCCACATATCTATAATAAACTTCCTCCTCCACCATAAAAGCAGCCATGTCCTTTCTCTTCTTTTCTTTCTTTCTTTCTTTCTTTCTTTCTTTCTTTCTTTCTTTCTTTCTCTCTCTCCCTCTCTCTCTCTCTCTCTCTCTTTCTTTCTTTCTTTCTTTCTTTCTTTCTTTCTTTCTTTCTTTCTCTTTCTCTCTTTCTTTCATTCTTTCATTCTCTTTCTTTCTTTCTTTCTTTCTCTTTCTCTCTCTCCTTCCCTCCTTCCCTCTCTCCTTCCCTCCCTCCCTTTCTCTCTCTCTTTTTTCTTTCCTTCTGTTTAATCGAGATCTTTAAAATGTCTTCCTGTTTCTTGGTAGGATGTAGCCCAAGTGTTTCCATGCTAATAACCAGTTGTGGTTTTGTTTGTTTGCTTTTTTTTTTTAAAAGCAGTTTTAACTCTTAAGGATGACATTATCTCTATCAAAGAGTAACTGTTCTTTTCTTTTGAGTTGTCTGTTTTGTTGTTTGTTTTTCGAGATGGGAACTTCTCTGTGCAGCTCTGACTGTCCTGGAACTCAAGTTGTAGACCAGGCTGGCCTCAAACTCAGAGATCCGCCTGCCTCTGACTCTCAAATGCTGGGATTAAAGGACATCACACCCCTCATTTTCTGTTTTACAAACGACACTTTACCTTGTACTGAAAAAAAATATTTTTATCATTTGTGTGCTAATGTAGGCCACCCAGCTAGGTAGCATAATTTTTCTTTAAATAGATGTTAGTTTCTCATTATCATCCAAGTGGCAAGAAAAAGGTGTTTGATGCTCTCTCCTGACCCAGAGTGCAGCAGTGAGAGGAGATGTCCGAGCATATTTGTGGGAATTGAGCCTGCTTCTTCTCCTTAGCCCTAGGACAGCTAGCTCTGGGCGAGAGGCCTACAGGGAGCAGACAACATTTGAAGATAGCAGATTGTGTGTGAGGGCATGCGTTTATTTCCTTTTTGTTCTGTAGCCACAGCAAGGCAAAGGTTTTGAAACTGCTCTTCTCAACTCTTTTCAGCTTTAAAGGGCCGTTCTTTATCTAAGGCTTCCAGCTGGAATCTTCTTGTTTCCTATTGAATTTCTTTCAGGTAGGTTTCTCTCAGGTGGATAATGGGTCTGGCATGCCTTCATTCCTCACCAGCAAGAACAAGAGTCAAGTAGACCTTCAGTCCTGCTCATCATTAATAAGCTAATGGATACAGCTCTTTCTGAACTGCCGTGGCATTATGCAACACATCCTATTGCATTTTAATAATTACCCAACCAGGCCTCTTTCACATAAGGAAACAGGGCATGATTGATTCAAACGTCTGGCATTTTCGAGCCTGTAAGAGCCAGGTGGTTTTAAAACCAAGCCCAAGGGAGACTCAGTAGGGGAGAAAACAACTGGCCTTTTCCTACTATGAAAGAAAAACAGCCCAGAGCCATCAGTTCATCCTACCACCTCCCTTCCCACGATGTTCCTGGCTAGGGTTTTCTGGCCAGAAAGACCACCTTCCTTTTGCTGCCTCTCAGAGTTACATGGCTCCATTTCTTGTCCATCTTGCGTCTCCTTTTCACTTTAATCTGCTTTCACCTGCAGAAAACATGAGAATAACCAGATGTCATATCGTTTATTTTGAGCTAATACCCTACACTCACACTTAAAATGGCTGCAACCAGATGTATGATGGGATATGTGTTTAGTTAGAATGAAGCCTGCGCAATCTGCGGTATCTCTGCTTAATAAGCCAGCTACATTTGAATTTTACAGTTTAGTTTTAGGACCGGCATCTTTCCATTTTTAAAAAGTGGAGATGCATTGTAGGACACTGACCAAATACAACCACATTCTAGATTTAAACAGAGAAGTTACAAAAACGCCAGGTGTCCTCCTAAGTTCAAAGCTTTCTGCGAGGCTCAACAACAGTGGTTCTCAACCTGCAGGTCACAACCTCTTTGGGGGCTCTCTTATGAGACGTTTACATTACAATACATAACTGTGGCAAAACTACAGCTATGAAGTGGCAACGAAAATAATGTTATGGTTGGGAGTTGCCACAACATGAGGAACTGTATTAAAGGGTTGTGGCATTAGGAAGTCTGAGAACCACTGTTCCACAGTGAAGCACTCGAAGCCCAGGTATCTCCCAATAAAAACATAATGGTGGAACTGAAGAGATGGCTCAGCCATTAAGATCACTTGCTGCTCTTTCAGAGGACTGGAGTTTGGTTCCCAGCACCCACATGATGGCTCACACCCACCTGTAACTCCAATTCCAGGGGATCTAATGCCCTTTTCAGCCATCTGTGTGTATGTTCACACAGAAACACACATAAATACAAATACAATTATTTTTGAAAATGCTCAAATTGAAAATGAGCAAACAGTGGCACCTTTTTAATTCTGAAAAGGAATGTGGCTGTGAGGTCAGGATGATGTGGTACTACACAGAGCCATGTGGTACTACACAGAGCCGTGCGGTAATGTACACAGCTGTGTGGTACTACACAGAGCCATGTGGTACTGTACACAGCTGTGTGGTACTACCCAGAGCAGAGCTGTGGTACTGCGCATAGCCTTGAGGTACTGTACACAGCTGTGCAGTATTGTACAT